ATTAATTTTGTTCAGTCGATTACTGAAAGAAGGTAAGAGGGAACTATCAGGAGAAAGCACCAAGCCATTACGACAATATAGCACTGGGAAGGGGTCAGGATAAGGATTTGGGATGGGACGAGGGGGAAGGAATGGTGCCCAACCACTTGTGGACGGTCGGGGATTGAACCCCGGCCTGCATGAAGGGCGACCGTCGCTCTACCGTCCAGCTCAAGTGATCAAAACTAACTTGATAGTCTTCCTGGCTTATGGCGCCTTCTTTGGATAATTACTTATCAAGACAAAGGGCTGTTGGGAACACAAGTGGACGCAATCAAGACAAAGCTACAAATGTACACAAGTTCCTGCAAGAAGATCCAAGAAGGTTCCAAGCAACAGCCTGTTAGACCAAGTTATCACAAGTCGAGCCTGGCCCCGGGCCGAGCATGGAGTAGAACTCACAGAACTCATTCCAGGTACACACGGTACACGTGAACAAAAATTAAAAACTGACTTTAGTCAATATTTGACTTATTAGCGTAATCTAGAGAATGTGTTGCATTCGTTGAATGGTTTGAAACTAGTTTTATACCAGTTTAGGGTATTTATGTCATTAGTCTGGAGGGGGGGGGGAGGTAAGGTGACTATCAGGAGAAAGCGCTAAGCCAGTATGACTATATAGCACTCGGAAGGGATATACGGACATGATAGAAGCTAGGGAAGGAACGGTGCCCCAATCACCTGGACCATCAGGGATCGAACAGCGACCCTGCAAGAAGTGATGCCGTTGCTATGCCAACCCATCCAAGTGGTTGGTCAAGGCGGAAGAGGAGGTCCCTGGAGTGGGGGGGGGGGAGGGGGGTCTTGGCCCCAAGCCCGGCCAGGGGCCAAAATTACGCACGAGGCGGCCAATGTAAAATGGGTGTTGTTATAGTGTGTGGTTGTGAAAGCTGTTGTTGTTGGTACTTTGTTGGTGATGGTTGCTGTAGTGGAGGTGAAAGTTGGACAGAGGAAAGGTAAATGTTTACTTTGTAATAAACACGGCTGGTGGTGGTGGTGGTGGTGGTGGTAGTGGTGGTGGTGGTGGTAGTGGTGGTGGTGGTGGTGGTGGTGGTGGTGGTAGTGGTGCTGGTGGTGGTGGTGGTGATGGTGGTGGTGGTGGTGGTGGTGGTGGTGCTGGTGGTGGTGGTAGTGGTGGTGGTGGTGGTGGTGGTGGTGGTGGTGGTGGTGGCGGTGGTAGTGGTGCTGGTGGTGGTGGTGATGGTGGTGGTAGTGGTGGTGGTGGTGGTGGTGGTGGTGCTGGTGGTGGTGGTGGTGCTGGCAGTGGTGGTGGTGTTAGTGATGGTGGTAGTAGTGGTAGAGGGGAGAGCCTGAAAGACAACATCAGTACAACTCACAAGTTTGTGGAACTATGAGAATATAATATGAGGACCGATCATTTCTGCCCTAAACGCTCCGCGTGCTAGAGGCTGTACAGGAATGTCACAACTCCTGTACATATATAAATAAATACAATAAAAAACAAATAAAGATATAATATGCTTTTCAGTATACGTGACTGGAATATCCCAGACTATTAATTCTAGAGCGAGCTCTCGATAAAACGAGTCCTGTGAGAGAGAGAGAGAGAGAGAGAGGGAGAGAGAGAGGGAGAGAGAGAGGGAGAGAGAGAGAGAGAGAGAGAGAGAGAGAGAGAGAGAGAGAGAGAGAGAGAGAGAGAGAGAGAGAGAGAGAGAGAGAGAGAGAGAGAGAGAGAGAGAGAGAGAGAGAGAGAGAGAGAGAGAGAGAGAGAGAGAGAGAGAGAGAGAGAGAGAGAGAGAGAGAGAGAGAGAGAGAGAGAGAGAGAGAGAGAGGGGCCACCACAGCCCACTCTGCAGGATTGAACGTGAGACTGTATTTCTACATCTTTTGATCTATATCTGTCAAGTTTTCCACAGTACCTTTGGTCAATGCGTGTAGGACGAGATCATTAGTGTAACAGAAGACCTTAGTACTGCGTACGCGACGGTCAGCTTTGCTGGCCCTTTTTAACTCTTTCAACAATGGATCAAACTGGTTTGAAAATAATATTGGACTTACGAACAGCACCTTATGTGACCCAATTTTTTTTTTTTAGGGAGAAATTTCCAGAGAGATCATTATTTCACAGCTAATTTGCTTACCGGATAAGAAATGTGTAAGATATCTAGCCATGACAAGACATAATTTTTCTGTGTTTAGTGTGCTCAACTTTGTCAAATCTTTGGAAGTATCATCACTATGTCTGTGAGGACAGAGCTCGCTTCTTGCAGGTCGATGTTCGATCCCCGACGGTCCAGGTGATTGGCCACCGTTCCTATCCCTGTGCCATCGCAGCTCTTGTCCTCGTATACTTTGAAAGTGCTATGTAGCAATGCTGGTTTAGCGCTTTCGCCTCATCATTACCTTACCTTTTACTTGGCACAAGAAATATTGCTGGAACAACAGTGGACGTGTTCAAGCAACCTGTCCTCTTACGAAGAACGTCGTATTTCGATCGTACGCGTTACGTGAGGTCAAACAAATTGTCGTAGTAGAAAAATACAAGCGGCTCGCGAAATTGACGTCCTGTCCCGTTTTCTGTTTTGGCTCCTCTGGTAGGTTAGGAGAGGACACTTTAAATTGACTGTTTTCTTGACCCTGGGAAACCTTAGGAGGACGGGCTGGTTCAATAAAGGTGCTACGTTCAAATTCAACCACTTGCAGCAAGTGCCAGACCAACCGGGGTGGATAGTAGATATGTATAGGCCTACGGGCCGCTACAACCAACAGCCTGTTGGACCCAGTTAGCACCCAGGCCAGGCCTGGGAAGTAGGACAACTCTCAGAACCCAACTCCAGGTCTGCTGGAGGTGTATATCCAAGTTCTTCACTGTGGAGGCAAGGTGGCAAGCTGGGGTTTATGACACGGCCAGGGTACGTGACGCTGAAAACGTTAGTTGAGGATTATACCGAAGTAGTTTATGTGTTTATGGAGCTACCGCTGTGTGTCGTAAATCGTTGATATCTATCTTTAACGAGCGAGAGGTGTTTGGTTGTGGGCGAGAGGCGTGGGGAGAGAGAGAGAGAGATAGAGATAGAGAGACGTTATATATATTCGAGCCCGCGTCTTAGGTGACCTCAGACACACGCATTACCCACTGCACCACGGTGTGCTGAAAGGAACACAACCTGAAGTCCACACGAACCTATAAGGAGTGTAGAGGCACCGGGTCGATACGTGAGCTGACCTAAAACCCAGGTTCGAGCCCACCGTCACTAGTCACGGCACGAAGGCTCGGAGCTAGCGATCAGAGCCTCACCTACATGGACACAAAAAGTGCTCTTAAAGATGACAGGAGTCTACATAAGCACAGAGTAACTAACGGGGCCAGGATGCAGTTGGGTCGTTAGCGAGAGTGAGGAGGCGCTGGTTAAGACAAGGAGATCGTGTCTTGGCCATCAGCGTCTCTCCTACAGTTCCATAAGAGCACTTGAAGACTGACTAAACTGCTTGCTGCTTTCTCACGCCCTTCACCTTTGCTAATGTGTTTTAATTTCTCTTCTTACGGGTCTCCCACGGCTAACCTCCTCCCACCACCTCTGAAACCTTTCTCCCATGTTGTTGTTGTGTTGGTTTTAACGAAATTCTTATTACATTTGTGGTTGAAAAATCTACTATGTATCGATGCGGTTTCCCTAAGTAGACCCCCAAAAAAGAAAACGCAACACAACAGTCAACATTGCATATTATTATTATGCAATGTGAAAGACAATACTGTGCATTTTATACACGTTATTCACTCTGCAATAAGTCAACCCGCTCTCACACAAGACAGCACATATATGACTTATTGCTTATAGTCACTATTTCACTTAAAAATAAGTACATATGTGACATATTCCAAGCCATATTTTTTTTCAAGACACTAACTTTTCCTCTCAGTTTTATTAAACAATAGAGATTTTATACAAAATTTGACAATACTGTATCCTGAGTTAATTTACAATTTATTTAAATATTTTAGTTTTGTTTTATTATTTTTAAAAAACTGTAATATCAATATAGGTATAGGTTCAGTACTAATTGTAATATCTTAACATACTAAGAAGGTTAGGTTAGGTCGGAGTTTTCTATTCAGCATTTCAAGGTAAACTCAAATATTCACAATAAATTAGTATGTCACATATGCACTTATTCATATGCCAAATATTGACTATAAGCAAGAGCGAGAACGGGTTGAATGGGTAAATAGCCTTATCTTGAGGCGGTTCTAAGGCTCTATATTTCCCTGTCTCAGACAGGAACATATAGCCTGCTTGTTATCGGTCTGGGTCAGTATTCATCAAGCATATACGCCGCCACTGACGAAACCTGTATATCTTTTCTCAAATCATGGCGGCTTTGTTTACATTTATCATAAGTGATGAGCTCTGAAGCTTCACAACCCAGGGTTATTATTGTTTTATATAACAAAAAACCCATCCCGGTGCATCAGAGTTCATAAATTGTTTAATAAATGTAAAGAAAGCCGTTATAGTACAAGAAAGATGTACAGGTTTCGTAAGTGGTTGTGTAAATGCCTATATATAAATCCTGGCCCTAGGTTATTAACCAGGCTGTATGCTAGACATTGCTGTATTTTGACGTAAGAATTACACAACCCTAATTGACCAGAGTAAATAAAGAATAAAAGTAAAGGATAAAAAATGAATTGTGGGGTTCAGTCCCTGAGCCCATTATGTGCCTCTGTAACCCTTTCCACTACCGCCCACAGGATGGGTATGGGGTGCATAATAAATGAACTAACTAACTAATTGACCATGTACTCTTCCGGGCTAAGTACACTTAGAGCCGGGTGTTGATTTGCCCTTTCCCTGGAAAATTGGCCGAGAGGGATTAATAGGGAGGGAGTTGCCCAGACTGTACAAATTACAGGTTTGGCCCATTTATATGGTAATGATAATTGCTTGTTGATAATCTATTTTAATACCAAACACTGAGGCGCTTATTCTCCTCCACAGAGAGCGACTCGCCGCCCAGTCCTGATGCCTTCGGCGTGAGTCTGGACGCCCTGAGGACTGGCTCCACCACGCTGCTCTCCATACGCAAGATCCGGGAGGCATCGCTGTAAGTATTTCTAACTTCCTCTTGGACTTGTTTGAGCCCTGGGTAAGAACACCACGGGGAGAGGCAGGTAAACAGGTAGGAAGGAAGGCAGGCAGGCAGATAAGCAGGCAGGCAGGCAGGCAGGTAAGCAGGCAGGCAGGTAAGCAGGCAGGCAGGTAAACAGGTAGGAAGGAAGGCAGGCAGGCAGGTAAGCAGGCAGGCAGGCAGGCAGGTAAGCAGGCAGGCAGGCAGATAAGCAGGGAGGCAGGCAGTCAGGAAGGCAGACAGACAGGAAGGCAGACAGACAGGGAGGCAAGCAGGTAGGCTGGTTGACAGGCAGGCAGGTAAGCAGTCAGGCAGGCAGGCAAGCAGATAAGCAGTCATGAACCAGGTAGGCATTTAAGCAGTTACGTAAGCAGGCAGGCAGGCAAGCAGGCAGATAAGAAGGCAGGTAAGCAGGCAGGTAAGCAGGAATTCAGGCAGGCAGTCAGGGCTGGCACTTCAGAATCCACCACTCCCTTCCCCATCAGGAAAGTCGAGGAAATACAAGGAAAAACCACCAGTGTAGTTTAAAATACGTAGACTTTCCCCAACTCCCGCATGACGAGGTTATAGCTGTATGACTAACCATCCTGCGAGATGGGGACTTGTATTACCACTGCTGCCTTATTCAATCTTGTGTTGTTGATATCCTCAAAATGCATCCGGAGTCTGCCAGTGCAGACCGCCTATCACATGCCTCTGTATGACTAACCATCCTGTGTGATGGGGATTTTTTAGCATCACCTAGTTAGCTTTTTTGACACACTGTACTCCACTTCATATAGTCTAGGGCAGCTGCACTAATGCAGATGTACCTAATATGTTAATAAAAAAAAAAAGAGGTTATAGCCAGGAAGGTCTTAGAGGTCTGAGAGAATATTGATGATATATATATATATATCATCAATATATATATATATATATATATATATATATATATATATATATATATATATATATATATATATATATATATATATATATATATATTGTAATGGAAGCAGTGAAGAGAGAATTATATAAACTTAAACACCCATCTTTTCTGCGGCCAAATCAAATAGTTTTATCTAGAAATTTAACATTTCATTTCGGTAGAGTTAGGTCGATAGTAAATAAAAGTATATTATCCTCAGTTTGAGAGAACCAAACTGGAAGGTATACTATTAAAGGTTAAGCCTGAGAAGATTCCTAGGGTAATTCCTACTCAATTTCTGCACAAGATGAGGAGATACAGGAAGGACTAGTTATGACTGTAGAGCAAACCAGTCTGTACTCCTCGACTGTATGATCTATATGTACCTGTATAAGTGTGCGCGTGTGTGTGCGCGCGTGTCTCTTACAAGAGTACCGGGTGAGAGATTTCAACGTGGCAGTAAGAGGAACCCCCACAACAATGCAGGCACCTGGCAGCCACAGACAATTAGGAGCTGCCGGCTTCTTTGCTTCTGAAAGGCATACGGGCATTAATACCCATGTCAATTGCGTGCCAATGGACCACTAAACAAGAGTAAGGATTGAATGATGCCAGTATTTTCCCCCATCACAAACCTTATTCATATGCATGAACCAACTCTTACGTTTTGCAAGTCTAATGCAAAGGTGCTTGAACGTGACGTGGTGTGGTGGCTTGGGCTGGGTCTCAGCACCGGTGTAAACACAGGTGTGACCACTGGGAGGGGGAAACATATTCATTGTAATTTCCGCAAGGGGGAGCGTTTGTGTACATCCCTGGAAACACAAACCGAAACTGTCTCTATTTTCCGCTTGTTACAACTTGTAATAAAGTTGTTACATCTTGGCTTAACGTGCTTATGACGTATTAGAACGTTGTTACAACTTGCTATATTGGTTGTTATAACTGGTTAGGAGGGCTTAAAACTTGTTCGAACGTTGCACCAACGTCGTAGTTTCGGTGTGTGTTTGTCGGGATCTCTCTAGTGGCGCTGATGGAGGGTTTGTTTTGACATTAATTGTTTAAGCGTCTAAGCCACCCTAGTGGTTACTTTTGCAACCACTAGGGTGGTTCTTCATTATTGTCGAGCTCGGGGGAAATATTAATATCTTTGAGTGTATTTCTTACAAATGTTGGGTAAGATTTCTGCTCCTCTTTCTTGTCTCAATTGCGCATCTTTTTGTCATAGTGTTCGCTGCAGAATGTTTTATTTTGTTTGCTGTGTAAATTTGGGATTTTGCCTCCAGTATCTTCCATATATATATATATATATATATATATATATATATATATATATATATATATATATATATATATATATATATATATATATATATATATATATATATATATATATATATATATATATATATATATATATATATATATATATATATATATATATATATATATGCGGAAAATCCACAGAGAAATATGAAATGAGGTGAACGTTTCGGCTTTGTTAAAGCCTTTGGTCAACACCAGACTGACTGGGTCAGTCTGGTGTTGACAAAGGCTTTAACAAAGCCGAAACGTTCACCTCATTTCATATTTCTCTGTGGATTTTCCGCATAAAATGATCAGTGTTTTGTGATCGTCAATTGCATATATATATATATATATATATATATATATATATATATATATATATATATATATATATATATATATATATATATATATATATATATACATACATATATATATATATATATATATATATATATATATATATATACATATATATATACATACATATATATATATATATATATATATATATATATATACATACATATATATATATATATATATATATATATATATATATATATATATATATATATATATATATATATATATATTCATAATACATGTATAGATACGTGTATCGTATATATATATATATATATATAAGTATTAATGAACATGACAAAGGGTCAGATCAATGCTTCTAACACGAATTTTATTTATGTTTTCTTAACTTCAGAAGTTGAAAAATGAACGCCCAAGTTCATTTGACAATTTTATTACGGGCTGACGCTAAGAGATGCGTTTCACTGGTCCTCGTCAACATCATCAAAGGCAGAGTTCGAATTGTTACAAGTTTTTCTGCTGCCGAATATATAGCCGGGGATGAGGTGAAGGTGAAGCACCTCATGGGTCAATAGCAGTTTTGCAATAACTCCAATGCAATACCCATTGTAGTTTAACAATCTCTGATGTTTCTATGATGGCTGGAGCAGTATGTTTTATGGTGCCTCACTAATGTCCAGTCTTCGTGTGTTGCTGTATTTGTCGATTAACTGGTGTTGACAGGATATCTCTAGTGATGACCTGGTTATGTGCAGAGACTATATGTTCCTTGCTGTTTGTGCATTGTTAGGCGCCTTAAAAGGGATATGTTGTTGTCTTGTCTATATATTGAGTTGACTGGGGCTGACAGTCCCCAAGTGGCCATGTGAAGGTACAGACAACACTCGTCTCTTTCAAGACGTTTTGTTTAGTGTCAGGAGAGTTTTCCCATGAGTAAGCTGGTAGTTTTCTTGCTCTTACAGATAAAAAAATATAAATTCAATCTTCTGGTTGGTGTTGGTAAGGGTCATATTTCTATCAATAATGTTTTTCAGGAGACTTGTTTTATGGGCCGTGTAGAAGACGTTACTCTAGAATATTTTAATGGTAACCGGTAGTGTCCTGTTCTCTGCTTCATCTGAGGCAACATGGCGACTCACCTTCCTTTTTGATGATTTCTTCGGCATAACCATTAGGGGGTATCCATTACTGCTCAGAACCTGTCTCACTCAACCGGTGATGCTCAGGTGACGGAGGGAAAAAATCTTCACTGTACACTATCTTCATCACTGTATACTGTTATTACTATATCTTCACTACCTGGGCACCGCCAGATACCCCTCCCCCATCTGCACCATCATCTCCCCTTCATCTGTCCCTCTCCATCCCCTTCCCTGGCAATCATTTCACCTTCTGTACCCTTCACAGCCTTCACTACCCTTTGCCACCCTTCATCACTCTAGTCATCTTCAGCACACACTTTCTTCATCAATAAACTACACAACACTAACATTTACTCCTGTATAAAATATCGTGGTTGATGAATCTTTTTGAGGATGAAATCTGGTATTTTGCATGACTGGAAAATAGTATTATTTGCCATTTCCTGCAAAACGGAGAGCATAGAGGTCGCCTCTGACACGCCTATGACCATCCCCGAACAAAGACCAGTCATCCTGCAAAGTTTATTAATTTTTTATTTTGTGAGTTATGCTCACCATTATCTAGGCTAGAGCATTTGATCAATGGGTTGTTTCATTTTGGTGTACTAATAGTAATTTACTTGTTATGGACTACTGTTAAATGTCTAGGGAAAATGTCTTGTAAATGTCTTGGGAAATCCCCAAGATGGCCAAGCATCTTGGTTTGAGTGTTCATATAAGACATTTATTTATGGAGGAAAGAGTTGTATCAGTGGGCTATACCACTCAGTGAAAGATATACATCAATTTGTATCAGTGAGCCCAGCTTAATGGATTTATAGCATCTATTCACTCCAAGTAAATATCGAATATCGACAAAGCATCATATCGGGACACACACACACACACACACACACACACACACACACACACACACACACACACACACACACACACACACACACACACACAAGGTTAAGCTCCCAGATCCCACTCCAGGTACAATCCAGGTATCCTCAGAGATAATAGTACATTAATTAGCATATAATATATATATATATATATATATATATATATATATATATATATATATATATATATATATATATATATATATAGTAGTAATAAATGTGGACCCCCTCTATATTTAGGATTCAATGTTACTCAAAATGTCTACTTTATCTTACATACAACGTGAAATACAAATAACACACAAACACTCCACCACACAAACATATGAAAACAAAATCAACCACTCTTTGCTCACGATACACAAACATATTTGTAACAGATGTAACGTCGCTCTCGTCTCCTTAGATGAGATGAGAGCCTCCATCCGTCTCCTCCCTCGCTGAGGAGAGACGGAGGATATAGATGAGATGAACAGGACAAGAGAAATACATTTTATAGCTGTTGTATTTTGAGGTTGGTGAATAAAACTGTGTTGATCTTGCCATTGCAGAGCGTTGTGTGGGAAGCGGTCGTTGAGCGAGAGTCCTTCACCACCGCCTGTGTCGTCCCCTCCCGTGGCGCACCTCGCTTCCTCCGGGGGAGTCTCCGTCTCCATCACCTCCTCCGCCGGCGCAGCCTCACTCCTCTCACCATCTTCGCATTCGCTCATCTCTTCGTCGTCGTCATCGTCGTCTTCCCCGCCTTCCCCTCCAGCGGGGGCGCCGCGGCCCCCCGGCCGGCCCCCTCCACAACCCGCCGACTACACCGACGCCCTCAGACGGCGGAAAGTTCACAAGTGTGACTTCGAGGGCTGCGAGAAGGTCTACACCAAAAGTTCGCACCTCAAGGCACACAAGCGCACACACACAGGTAAATTAATTATCCATAAGAAATATATTTTTCGGACTTTCATAATTTTGCTAACTTCACTTTAGACTGTTGCCTTTAGGATAGGTGTAAACCGTGTCACAGTGACTGTATGGTACTGTGAAGGGATATGAACATGAGTGCTGAAATGGTGCACAGTGCTCAAGTGATTGAAAGGTGCACAGTTACCCCTTTACTTGGGTACGAGGCTACGTGACCACCAAGAGGCCTGTGCTCTCCCTAGAACATGTGTGTTAACCATTAGCCTTTCCAACCACTTGGGCTGGACGGTATAGAGCGAGGAGTCTCCCTTCATGCAGGTCAGCGTTCAATCCCCCAACCGTCGACAATAGGTTGGGCACCATTCCTTTCCCCCCATCCAATCCCAACTCCTTATCCTGACCCCCTTCCCAGTGCTGTATAGTCGTAATGGCTTGACGCTTTCTCCTCATAGTTCCCCTTCCATTTGAACTTGGCACCCCACAGGAAAGTGTCTTGAGTCCTATGTTCAAAATTCTGGCATGCTTACCAGGCCACAGGAACATATATCGCTATTTATGATGATAAACGATAACCAGTGTTGGCTCCACAACACTGGGTATACTAGCATACCAGTATATCCTTGACTGGGTTAGACATGTCAGGATTTATCCTCCATCATCTCGGCTGAGAAAAATATCGTGAATCGGCAGGTACCAAGATGCAACTGTATGATGGCCCTCAGCTTGACTGTGTAACCAGGTACCAAGATGCAACTGTATGATGGCCCTCAGCTTGACTGTGTAACCAGGTACCAAGATGCAACTGTATGATGGCCCTCAGCTTGACTGTGTAACCAGGTACCAAGATGCAACTGTATGATGGCCCTCAGCTTGACTGTGTAACCAGGTACCAAGATGCAACTGTATGATGGCCCTCAGCTTGACTGTGTAACCAGGTACCAAGATGCAACTGTATGATGGCCCTCAGCTTGACTGTGTAACCAGGTACCAAGATGCAACTGTATGATGGCCCTCAGCTTGACTGTGTAACCAGGTACCAAGATGCAACTGTATGATGGCCCTCAGCTTGACTGTGTAACCAGGTACCAAGATGCAACTGTATGATGGCCCTCAGCTTGACTGTGTAACCAGGTACCAAGATGCAACTGTATGATGGCCCTCAGCTTGACTGTGTAACCAGGTACCAAGATGCAACTGTATGATGGCCCTCAGCTTGACTGTGTAACCAGGTACCAAGATGCAACTGTATGATGGCCCTCAGCTTGACTGTGTAACCAGGTACCAAGATGCAACTGTATGATGGCCCTCAGCTTGACTGTGTAACCAGGTACCAAGATGCAACTGTATGATGGCCCTCAGCTTGACTGTGTAACCAGGTACCAAGATGCAACTGTATGATGGCCCTCAGCTTGACAGTGTAACCAGGTACCAAGATGCAACTGTATGATGGCCCTCAGCTTGACTGTGTAACCAGGTACCAAGATGCAACTGTATGATGGCCCTCAGCTTGACTGTGTAACCAGGTACCAAGATGCAACTGTATGATGGCCCTCAGCTTGACTGTGTAACCAGGTACCAAGATGCAACTGTATGATGGCCCTCAGCTTGACTGTGTAACCAGGTACCAAGATGCAACTGTATGATGGCCCTCAGCTTGACTGTGTAACCAGGTACCAAGATGCAACTGTATGATGGCCCTCAGCTTGACTGTGTAACCAGGTACCAAGATGCAACTGTATGATGGCCCTCAGCTTGACTGTGTAACCAGGTACCAAGATGCAACTGTATGATGGCCCTCAGCTTGACTGTGTAACCAGGTACCAAGATGCAACTGTATGATGGCCCTCAGCTTGACTGTGTAACCAGGTACCAAGATGCAACTGTATGATGGCCCTCAGCTTGACTGTGTAACCAGGTACCAAGATGCAACTGTATGATGGCCCTCAGCTTGACTGTGTAACCAGGTACCAAGATGCAACTGTATGATGGCCCTCAGCTTGACTGTGTAACCAGGTACCAAGATGCAACTGTATGATGGCCCTCAGCTTGACTGTGTAACCAGGTACCAAGATGCAACTGTATGATGGCCCTCAGCTTGACTGTGTAACCAGGTACCAAGATGCAACTGTATGATGGCCCTCAGCTTGACTGTGTAACCAGGTACCAAGATGCAACTGTATGATGGCCCTCAGCTTGACTGTGTAACCAGGTACCAAGATGCAACTGTATGATGGCCCTCAGCTTGACTGTGTAACCAGGTACCAAGATGCAACTGTATGATGGCCCTCAGCTTGACTGTGTAACCAGGTACCAAGTACCAAGATGCAACTGTATGATGGCCCTCAGCTTGACTGTGTAACCAGGTACCAAGATGCAACTGTATGATGGCCCTCAGCTTGACTGTGTAACCAGGTACCAAGATGCAACTGTATGATGGCCCTCAGCTTGACTGTGTAACCAGGTACCAAGATGCAACTGTATGATGGCCCTCAGCTTGACTGTGTAACCAGGTACCAAGATGCAACTGTATGATGGCCCTCAGCTTGACTGTGTAACCAGGTACCAAGATGCAACTGTATGATGGCCCTCAGCTTGACTGTGTAACCAGGTACCAAGATGCAACTGTATGATGGCCCTCAGCTTGACTGTGTAACCAGGTACCAAGATGCAACTGTATGATGGCCCTCAGCTTGACTGTGTAACCAGGTACCAAGATGCAACTGTATGATGGCCCTCAGCTTGACTGTGTAACCAGGTACCAAGATGCAACTGTATGATGGCCCTCAGCTTGACTGTGTAACCAGGTACCAAGATGCAACTGTATGATGGCCCTCAGCTTGACTGTGTAACCAGGTACCAAGATGCAACTGTATGATGGCCCTCAGCTTGACTGTGTAACCAGGTACCAAGATGCAACTGTATGATGGCCCTCAGCTTGACTGTGTAACCAGGTACCAAGATGCAACTGTATGATGGCCCTCAGCTTGACTGTGTAACCAGGTACCAAGATGCAACTGTATGATGGCCCTCAGCTTGACTGTGTAACCAGGTACCAAGATGCAACTGTATGATGGCCCTCAGCTTGACTGTGTAACCAGGTACCAAGATGCAACTGTATGATGGCCCTCAGCTTGACTGTGTAACCAGGTACCAAGATGCAACTGTATGATGGCCCTCAGCTTGACTGTGTAACCAGGTACCAAGATGCAACTGTATGATGGCCCTCAGCTTGACTGTGTAACCAGGTACCAAGATGCAACTGTATGATGGCCCTCAGCTTGACTGTGTAACCAGGTACCAAGATGCAACTGTATGATGGCCCTCAGCTTGACTGTGTAACCAGGTACCAAGATGCAACTGTATGATGGCCCTCAGCTTGACTGTGTAACCAGGTACCAAGATGCAACTGTATGATGGCCCTCAGCTTGACTGTGTAACCAGGTACCAAGATGCAACTGTATGATGGCCCTCAGCTTGACTGTGTAACCAGGTACCAAGATGCAACTGTATGATGGCCCTCAGCTTGACTGTGTAACCAGGTACCAAGATGCAACTGTATGATGGCCCTCAGCTTGACTGTGTAACCAGGTACCAAGATGCAACTGTATGATGGCCCTCAGCTTGACTGTGTAACCAGGTACCAAGATGCAACTGTATGATGGCCCTCAGCTTGACTGTGTAACCAGGTACCAAGATGCAACTGTATGATGGCCCTCAGCTTGACTGTGTAACCAGGTACCAAGATGCAACTGTATGATGGCCCTCAGCTTGACTGTGTAACCAGGTACCAAGATGCAACTGTATGATGGCCCTCAGCTTGACTGTGTAACCAGGTACCAAGATGCAACTGTATGATGGCCCTCAGCTTGACTGTGTAACCAGGTACCAAGATGCAACTGTATGATGGCCCTCAGCTTGACTGTGTAACCAGGTACCAAGATGCAACTGTATGATGGCCCTCAGCTTGACTGTGTAACCAGGTACCAAGATGCAACTGTATGATGGCCCTCAGCTTGACTGTGTAACCAGGTACCAAGATGCAACTGTATGATGGCCCTCAGCTTGACTGTGTAACCAGGTACCAAGATGCAACTGTATGATGGCCCTCAGCTTGACTGTGTAACCAGGTACCAAGATGCAACTGTATGATGGCCCTCAGCTTGACTGTGTAACCAGGTACCAAGATGCAACTGTATGATGGCCCTCAGCTTGACTGTGTAACCACATACCTTGGACCTTGAGGTCCTTTTGTATAACCATGTTGTAGCCAGACTGGGCTGAACAAATCCACATGGGCCGTGACGAGGATTCGAACCTGCGTCCGGGAGCTCAGACTGGGTTGAGCACGCAGAGAACTCTCTAGGTTGAGAGGCTATCACACAATCTGGAGAGTTCACTCTAGTTATGGTATAAATATCAGAATTGAAGAAAAAAATGATGTTCCTTTCATATATATTAGATGTTTAATTGATAATGCTGCACGTCTTCTTGCTCAAGTACCTGAAAGAATGCTGGAAAGGGCTCGTAAAGATGCAAAACGAAGTCTTAAGAATAAATCCACAGATGTTCCCATACAACAAAATTACTAAACATGAGGAACTGATTTAACTAATGATTTAATTAGTATCATAATGCTTGAGGTAAACCCCGTCCCCAGACATTCTTCAGACTTCCTTCTATCGAAAGTAGACAACCTCCAAAATATTTTCACGGAAACAGCAACTGAACCCGGAATGTCTCAGCTTCATGACCTCCTCCCCTTCCCCTCTCAAGAGCAACAACAACAACAACGGCACTTTTCTGCATTATGGGAGGTCCAAATTTACACCCTTGCCAGCGAAGACGATTCAAGATCACCCCCGTGCTTTAAGTATACAATGGCATTAGTCTGATGCCATTGTATCAATAATAACCAGCTATGGTCATAAACGAGTCCCTACACCGCTTCACTGGTGGTGTGGGAAGTGTTGCAGTCGTAATACTAAGGAGACACACTCCATGTCAATCCTATGCTGAGTGGGGGGTTCCTATAACTAACTGGGCCTGCCACTCTTCAGTACTGACTGTACTTAGTGCACTCAAACAACTATATGTATACAAAAGTTGCCACATTGATTTTGATTCATTACAGATTGCACCCAACTCGAGATATAACTTGTATGCTTGTGTCTGAAGCAAGAGACAATGATGGTAACCTTATAAACGTTATCATCGGTCTGTCTCTTATTGATCTCATCCCGTATTGACTTGCGAATGCGCGATAGAATTGATGAGTTAGCCAAAGTAATTATATATATATATATATATATATATATATATATATATATATATATATATATATATATATATATATATATATATATATATATATATATATATATATAAAGCACCAATCCCAGTGCTATGGGCATTCCATATTTTTTGGTTTTGTTTAAAAAACACTCCCTCGCCCCCTCCCCATCCCCTACGCAGTCAACAGATGTAGAATACCCAGAGTAGATTTGTGGTAGTAGAGTACTTTTAATGACATCCGTATTTCTTGATCAATTGATATTTGTTCAAGTTTAACTTTATTGTCATAATTTATTACCGTGATGTCGGGACGGCAAATGGGGCACCAGTTTAGCTCTGGGATTTTGTATTGCAATTTGACAGGATGATGCATGTAATAATCTAAGATGAGGTCTGATAAAGACCTTTTGTGCCCTCTGTAATGCTTTTGCGCTACCGCTCACAGGATGAGTATGGGGTGCACAATAAACTAGCCGCCTTCGGCGGCAACAATCAAATCAAATCGTCTTGTATGGCAGCCATCCTGATAGAAAGCTAGAATATTTCACCTGTTAGGATGAATCTATACTATTTTAAACGTGTTAAAATTATTTTTTTCAGTGGATATACGAGTCTCCATGTTAAGCGGAGGTGTTTCTTGTCCTTGCAGGGGAGAAGCCTTACCAGTGTACGTGGGACGGGTGCATGTGGCGATTCGCGAGGTCAGACGAGCTGACCCGCCACTACCGTAAACACACAGGCCAGAAACCCTTCAAGTGCCAGCTGTGTCAGAGGTCATTCTCCAGGTCAGACCACCTCTCCCTCCACATGAAGAGGCACTGAAGGGAGCAGGAGGGGATGATAGAGTCATGTCCCTCAAGTTTTGATCTCTATTGTACTCACAGCTCGTGGGATGAGAATATTGCTTCACGTTTCTCTGCTCATGTGGAGGAACGACGGCTCCAGCGATAGGGCCAAGAGCGACATGTTTTCCAAGCACACACCTCGTGTCGTCCTTGTGTCGTCCTCACTACGAGAGCTGCAGGTGGGGGTGACGACGACCTCCTTTCGTGCCAAGAGAAGCAAAGATGTCGACTAGTTGTCCCATTAGTCTTGGCTAACAAGCCTCCATGGGAGCAAGATGTTCTGAGCATTGTTTTGAAATATTAGCAGGTCCCAATTATCCTTCCAGTATTTTTGGGAGGGCCAAAACGATGAATGAAATGGTGGTGATAATTTGACCCTGTACAGTTTGTGTCGATAAAAAAAAAACTAAAAAAAAAACACTAAAAAAACTATACAAAGTATCGCCACCCCTCTGTATGACCTCTTGTGTTTTATCACTAGTGATAGTGTGTGTGATACGTGTATGGGACATTCCAACAGTAAGTATGTCCACCTAAGAGAAAATTATTGGTCATTTATAGATAAGGAAAAAAAAACAAGAGAAATTTTTACCGACGAGTCGTGTCAGCGACGCGACGGGGCGAGTGCTTCATGCCAGACAATAACTTAAATATTTACCGACATTATACACTGAACCGCAGTCTTCCAGATGCCTTGTGACTTATCATAGAATGTATTTTCATTTCCGGAGAATCGTGTGCTCTAGAGTCATTCGTCATGATTGGATTTTATAATAATGATATTTGGCGCAAGATTAAATATTATTATATATGTCTCAACTTTACACAAAACAAAAAAAAAAAGATGGGGTAATTTAAATCTTTTTATGCTTGAAAAAATATATTTCAAGAAGTGATACTATTTCTAAGCACAAATAGATGAAACAGTGCATGTAAGTAGTCTTCCAACTTCCTTGTGATGGAAACAGTGTTTGTTAACTTACGAGATCTTCCATTGCTAAGCTGACAGCCCGAGATAGCCTCGGCCAGGAGAGCACCCGCCCCTGCACACAAACACACGCACTCACTCACTCACTCAATCACTCACTCACTCACTCACCCTTCAGGAAAGTCGTCAAAGTGCTCAAATTAGTTCCAATCCTTGTGAAGTCTCTAAAGACTAAGAGTGACTATATTTGTATAATTAATATCCAAGTGAGCGTTGTTATACGTTACCCCTGGTAACGGACCTCGCCTGGTGGTGGTGGTGGTGGTGGTAGTAGCGTGTGCAGAGCCGGATGCCTCCGCCGGGTTCACGGTTAGGGGACCACTGGACTACGGGGCCTCAGTGCTGAAGCCTTTTTTGTGCTCGATATAACAAATAATATGTAGGATACGCAGTCTCCAGGATGTATGTAGAATCAAAAGAACTGTGATTTCTCTGACTGTACTTATTTCCGCATTTTGTCTGAATTATTATTACGCCCGGTAGGGGCTTTTTACATATTGTATAGTACAAAAATATTAGCCCGGAGAGTTTTTGGTGTTGACGGCCGCAGCCTCCTCATCTCTCTCTGTGTGTACGGACTGACTGTGTACATCCGACTGCTTCGCCCCACACTGGAGGCGGGTGTAGTCGAGCTTTGGATCTCTCTCTCTCTCTCTCTCTCTCTCTCTCTCTCTCTCTCTCTCTCTCTCTCTCTCTCTCTCTCTCTCTCTCTCTCTCTCTCTCTCTCTCTCTCTTCTCTGGTGTGTCCCACCTAACTATATATGGCTTCTTATGTCAAAACTGTGTTGGTGAAGACTTTCTGGCCCCCCCCCCTGCGTCTCCCTCTACCCCCCCCCCCTCCTTCGATCTTTACCAATCACATAATGAATAGAATTATTTTTTGTTTGAATTTGCTTTCCTCCTCCCCCTCCCTCCCCCCTCTCCCATAGTAATCAGCAGGTATTAAAATCGCCTACAGGCTAATTTATCCTTTTTATACCACCTGATAATGGTCCACGACGGACCGAAACCTCGTCGCTTTTATTCATTCTGAGGCGAGAGTAGGTTGGGTGTCGCTTTTTGAGCCCCGTTATTCTGTCTCCATAGTTTAGCCTTTTTGAGCCCCGTTATTCTGACTGTCTCCATAGTGTAGCCTCTGTCTACTCGACTCAAATTTAACGTTTGTTCCGCTGTACTTTGATTCGAGACACTTGAAGCTGTTTTTTTTCCCCTCCCTTTCTTTCCCGTTTAGTGGTTCCCTTCCCTCTTTGTGCTAGTTCCACACACTGCTTATCCGTCCCCCTTCCTTTGGTCGTTCCCACGCTTTCTCTCCCAGCTGACCGTCGACGACTGTCGCCGCGAGGTCCAGCTTTAATTCATATTTTATAATAGTGTGTGTGTGTGTGTGTGTGTGTTGTGTCCGACCAGTGAGAGGGTTAGCTAGTATGAACGTCGAGACCGTCGAATGTTGTCAAGCTTCGTAGTCAGCGAGCAAGCAAGTCGTCGTCGTCGTCGCCGTCGTCGTCGCCGTCGTCAGTCCTTTTAAGTGTTGGATGTGTCAAGAACAATCCAAAAATATACATGGCCATTTTGTTGTTTTGGTTTGAATGAGGAAAGTTGGGGGTACGTAAGCTTTAAGAATTTGTTGTGTAAAAATATAAAATAATAATGTGATGCGGCGGGTTTTTAAGCAACGTTGGCACAATGGTTGTGGAAAATATGTTAAAGGTGGTTCGTAACTCGAGTTGGAGGTGGCAGTAGTCGTTGTAGTTGCTTGTGCAAGTCGTTTTCCTGTGGGGAGCTGTCGGATGAACGAGGCAGGCTGTTTCTTGAAGAGACAACAAATGTGAAAGCAATAGCCTATTAAGGGTGGGAGTGAGTGGTAGTGGGGGTGAGGGAAGGGATATTTAGCAGTAATTTCCCACAATAGAGGCAATTTGGTCAAATAGCTACAGAAAGAGAGAGATAGTTTTACTAAAAAAGAAAATATAAAAACATTTTTTTTTTTTTCAAATTGTCATTAGAGTAAACTGAAGGTTCAATTCAGACAATAACTGTGTGTGCAACGGCCCTGTTGTTTCCTCGTGATGTATGACGCCCTCTTGAACTTGTGTGGTCAAGAAAAAAAAAATTCTAAGTTATATATATATATAATCTTATAGCTGTCAAAGTTACCAAAAACTCTTTAACTCGATGGACACATTAACAGGTAACGTGTAGTTACGAGTTTGACAAACTTTTTGATTTTTAATATTTTTTCGCCTCTGTCTTTACTACGAAGGTTCTTATTTTTTTTACAACTGTTGTAAACATGGCTTTTGTTATTTATTGAGTCAATGCCACCATTAACAGCCATCTTGTACAATGTTTATAATGAGCCACTAATATTATAATGACATAAATGACATTTGTTATTATGAAATTAACGTTGTTGAATCTCATTGCCATGTGGTCCAACTTTTATATTTCTAGTTGGTTTTAATTATTTAATTGTGTTTTTAAAAAGGAGTGAAACTACACAGAAATGGAATTTATTGTGACTCCTTCCCCCCCTCCCTCCCTTCAACAGTCTGTGGCTCATTTGATGAAATGTTTCCCAATGGTCTTCACACACTCGTGTGTGTGAGTGTGTGTGTTTGTAAGTGCGTGTGTGTATTTGTGCATGCGTGTACGTGTGTGTGTGCTTAAATTTTCAGGAACTGATATTTGTGTGTGCATGTACGTGTGTATGTACACACACCATGCTAGTCCTGGAGCTGAGAGGTATGAGTTACGAGAAAAGGCTACAGGAATTAAACCTCACGTTACTGGAAAACAGACGAGTTAGGAGACACATGATTACCACTTACAAAATACTCAAGAGGAAATGACAGGGTATAAAAAAGACAGCCAATTTAGCATGGGTGGTAAACAAAAAAAAGGACACAGGTGGAAACTGAGTACCCAAATGAGCCACAGATGCATTAGAAGTAATGTTTTCCCCGTCAGAGTAGTTAACAAATGTCACGCATAAGGCAGTGATGTGGTGGAGGCCGACTCCATACACCGTTTCAAATGCAGATATAAGAAGAGACCAATAGGCTTAGTAACTAATACGCCAGTTAGTTGATTGATAGTTGAGAGGCGGGACCAAAGAGCCGAAGCTCAACTCCCGCAAGCACATCTAGGTGATTACAACTGGGTAAGTACAAACACACACACACACACACACACACACACACACACACACACACACACACACACACACACACAGGTACGCGAACAAGGGGACACAGGTGGAAACTGAGTACCCACATGAGCCACAGAGACGTTAGAAGGAACTTTTTCAGTGCCAGAGTAGTTAACGGATGGAATGCATTAGGCATTGATGTGGTGGAGGCTGACTCCATACACAGTTTCAAATGTAGATATGATAGAGCCCAATAGGCTCAGGAACCTGTACACCCGTTGATTGACGGTTGAGAGGTGGGACCAAAGAGCCAAAGCTCAACCCCCGCAAGCACAAATAGGTGAGTACACACACACACACACACACACACACACACACACACACACACACACACACACACACACACACACACACACACACACACACACATACACACACACACACACAAACTCCCGTTTTTCATCTCAGATCCATAGGTCCAGCGACCTAATAATACACACAAGGTACCAGTCCGCTCTTGCCCAAGAGGTCCTGCGGGGCCAGGAACCAGACGAGGGAGATGGGTACTCACGAGGGGGTCACTCAGATCCTCCCATCACAACACAAACATTGTAGCCTGTGAAACTCACGATGAAACTCAGAAGGAAACATTGTTTATTGTTTCCATCATGCTGGCCCCTAACTTAAGATAAAAACTCATCCACTGAAGACTTGAAACGATCTTAAATATCAAACAAAAACTCCCATAATATACAAACTGAGCAAGCAAGCTGTGGCGGAAGACGTTTGCTAAAGACTATCCCATGTTGTAGAGAACTTACCTGTGGGATCCTGAGGCCCGGGTAGCATTGCAATGAATTCAGCTGCTAGAAAGGAAAAAATAATTAGCAGTGCCCAGGCTGGAGAAACTTGATGTGCTGAAAATAATAATAATAAAAAAACTATTGGGTACAGAAATGGTGTCTTAAGAAGACCGAGACAGTAGACAAGATTTTCAGGACAGATAACTACAGGAAAGGGAGAAACTGACTCTTGTGAATATTAACAACACCAGACAATAAGAGAAAACTCTTAGAAAAGAAGAGCAGATTCAGAGGGATGTGGACTCAGCTACAGATAAAGGGGAAGAGGGATATTTGGTAAATAAATCCCCCCTTTCCCTCACTCCCTCCCTCCCAAGCTGCATGATCCCAGTGTCTTACCACACCATTCCACGCCCCATATATCCATACCTTATCCTTCCTATCTCCTTCTTCCTCATCCCCCACACGAAGTCAGTACTTCTCTACCAACCGGTCCACAAGCCCTTCAAATCACCCCCTCCCCACCCCCCACCCCCCTTCATACCGCTTACACACTGAGAATTCATTAACTTCATGGAAACAAGACAATGGGGTTCTTCAAAATGTGAATGGAAATGAAGAAGTGTGCGTGAAAGCATGTACAATAAAACGGATGAATTACAAAACGAGTGAACTCGAGGAATGGAGGAAACCCACAATAAATGAAGCACGCAGAAAGTAAATTATAGTGTCGATGCAGATTTATTTTTCTTCCTAAAAAAAATCACTTATGTTCCAACAGGAGAATAGTGCTGCTGTCGATCAAGAAAGACTGGATTTCAAATAAGTAATTATCAAAAGAAGGCACCAAGAGACTGGATTTCAACGAGGCTGTTAATCCCTGGCTGTGAATGATATAATTAAATATGGGAACGTAACAACGGAGGGTCTAGGATAATGAAGCAATTATTACTAGGGGGATGACATTGCTTCATAAAGTTACCTTTGGAGATTAATTACCAGACAGGTTGAATTCAATAACAATTGGAAACAGGAGAACTGATAAAGCTGGAAGACAGGTAATGTAGTTCTAGTAAAGAAAAAAATGACAGGAGGCATTAAAACTGCAGGTTTTACTGTCATGACAATAAATGTCATTCAACGGAAGTTTCGAACCTGTATAGTTTTTTTTATTATTATTTTCTACCACAGACGTGACCACACATTTACAATGCTAACCAGCATATCTACATTTTCTACTGTCCTCCATGGACAGGGTGAGAGATTTGTTAAACATATAGTTCAGGGTTATAGAGTGACAGGGAAGGTTTTCGCAGTGGATTGAGAAAGATAATATTTCCTAAAGTAAGTGAAGAACCAACCGGAGAGATGGAGCCTCGGGGTTCAGCAAGCGACCATGGAAGACCAGACATCTGGAATCAGAAAGTTACTAGCATAGTACAAACATGTTCATAGGCGGACAAGTACCAAAACACAAACCCACTAGAAAGAATTTCGCAAGTGTCAGTATTGTGACCTGGAACGCGCTAAGAAGTGGAGGTTCCGTACAGCTTAGATTGAACAGATAAGGATGGAACCTTCATACTACATTGGTCGATGATATTTGTACCCGCGAACCCTGGGTACAAATTTGGTAAACATTGGTTTGGAATCGGTTTGTTCCAGAGCCAAAAGCTGGCGTAGGATGTAAATGCATACCCGAGCGGTATTAGACAAGGTATGACAAGATACAAACTACCCCACACACACACCCACACATACAAACAAGTGGTGAAAGAGCAAACATAATTATAATGTAAAGAGGTGACACACACACACACACACACACAATTAGACATATTCCATGACGGTGAAACAGTTTGGGAACGCTACGAGGGGGGGGGGGGGCAGTAAAGATGCAATCAAGGAAACGAGTCTCTTTCCTTAATTGTACCATCACGTCACATTTGTAAGCTTTAGGAGATAGTAGTTAGAGTCGGGATCACATTGTAACGCGTGACACGATTACAGGCAGAAGTGAGCTGTCGTAGTTTAACAGTCAAAAAACAAAAATAATTACAGTCGTTAAAAAACATCCACAGCCTCTTTTACACGCAAGCTAAGTAAACTGAGGCATTTCAAGCAAACTACCAATTTTAGGGATAGTGTAAACCAACCCCCCCTCCCCCCTCCCCTCTTACCAAAACCACATACACAACTTCACTCACCAAATATACTTGACCAAAAGTTCAAGATGGCGTCACCTTCTCTTGTAGATTTTTTGTTAATCTAAGGATTCCTGAAAGCGAGACATTCCTCTCCAATCCCCAAACGTCTTGATAATTTGATCTGTTTCACTGAGGGCATTCCGTACTCACCATTCCATTCTTGTAACACCTGATTTTATGTTAAGTTTTAAATAACATTAATGTAGACGAAAATACAAACTGTGTTTTAATTGTGTAATACATGTTATGAATCTTTCTAATATATGAAATAACTTCCTCATGTTTGAGGAATGTATATTCTTGTAAATAATGTTGTAAATATTGTGGAAAATTTTCGTAGTCTTGTAAATAAAGTGTATTGTTGACGTCTCTCTCTGTTTTACTGCATTCTGTACTCCAAGAACCAAACAATCATAGAAGTATATAAGAGTGAAGTCAGAGTACCCATACTAAGTACCCATACATACTTCCACATTACATTGTATTTATATACCTGGATTGTACCTGGATGGGGGATTCTGGGAGTTCTTCTACTCACCAAGCCCGGCAACTTGTACTTCAGACATATGTACTTCTATATGTACTTCCAACTCATCACTTCAACACTGTGCATTCTCTAGACCGACGCGAGATTTAAAGAAACTTACTGAACATGGAGGAGGTGATTTTCCTGTGATCATCTCTAATCGATTTTTATTCGTCTCCTCTATGACAAAGATACCCCAAAATCGTATCTAAATTGGGATCTAAAACACAAATACCTGATTAAGCCCAAAATTATTAATTAAAATGTTCTGAATCTAAAGAAAATTGGTACTTGTGAGTTATCATCAAAATATAAAGGATGTAGTTTAGTTTCCAGACAATATAAATAACTTTACTGGAATTGCTGGAATCAGGTGGTAAAATACAGATGGTTTGTGAATAATGAGAAAATACAGTGAGATTGATGTCTCGAATGAGTAAGTAAACTTAAACGATCAGCATGAATGTGTTGGCTGATGAAAAACTAGATTTTAATTTGCAGTTTGGAAAAAAAAAATCTGCAATGTTCGTCTTAATGTGTTCCGAGAGAGAACACTGAGATTGTCTGTAAACAGACAATCCTTGTACTGTAAAAAAATAGATTGTAGAGGAAACTGGTCCTATCAAAAAGGTAGTACGAAAAGTACGACATGCCTGAATGGCGGCGTTGAAAGAACAACGCGAAAACCCATAGTACAAATCGCTATGATTCTGTCGAGACAGAACACCTGTATTCAGAGCGCTGGATATGAGGAACGTTAAGCAGCAGAGCAAAGCTAAAGACCTCTGTGATGTAGAGCATTAACATAAGAAAGGGACGA